CCGCCGCCCGCGCATGCGCAGTGCGCCCGCTGCCCCTGGCTCCCTCCCGGGGGGAGGGTAAGTGGGGGGAAGGGGGTCACCCCCCCCTCCGCCCCCCAACCTCAGAGGCACCCTCACAACCACCCCTCAGCCCACCTCCTGCGGCGGGGGGCTTCCACCAGCCCACGCGCACGTGCCGCCGTGTCCTCCCTGGTGTCAAGGCCGCACCGCGTGCTCCATCACCGGTGCATGGGCCACGGCCACGGCGGGAAACTGCCACGAAGCAGCGTCACCCGGGACCGAGGGGCCCATCGGAGCGGCACGGCACAGCGCGAGACGTGGGGGGTCGGTTGCCGAGCCTGGGCCCGACGCCTCGTTGTCACCAAAAGTCACCCAGAGCTTCGCGCTCCATCGCTGACAGGGGAGCCATCGAGCCGCACGGGCGTGTTTGGGAACGAAGGCTTGGAGGTGACTTTGCCGCGCTGTTCGAAAGGCTCTCGGCTGGACCTTTAGAAGGCTTCCTGGTTGGGCCTGTTGACGGGCTCTTGGTTGGACTTTTTGAAGGGTTTTTGGTTGTTTTTGAAGGGTTCGTGGTTGTTTTTTGAAGGGTTCATGCTTGGGCCTTGTGAAGGGCTCTCAGTTGGACTCTTGGAAGAGTTCTTGGTTGTTTTTGCCGGGCTCTCGGTTGGACTTTTGGAAGGGTTCGTGACTGTTTTTGGAAGGGTTCGTGCTTGGACCTTTTGAAAGGTTCATGGTTGGACTTTTGAAGAGTTTTTGGTTGTTTTTGAAGGGCTCTGGGTTGGACCTTTGGAAGGGTCCGTGGTTGGACCTGTTGATGGGCTCTCGATTGGACTTTTTGAAGAGTTCTTGGTTGTTTTTGAAGGGCTCTTGGTTGGACCTTTTGAAAGGTACATGGTTGGACCTGTTGACAGACTCAGCTGGACTTTTTGAAGTGTTCTTGGTTGTTTTTGAAGGGCTCTTGGTTGGACCTTTTAAGGGGTTCATGGTTGTTTTGGAAGGGTCCGTGGTTGGACCTGTTGACAGGCTCTCGGTTGGACTTTTTGAAGAGTTCTTGGTTGTTTTTGAAGGGCTCTTGGTTGGACCTTTTGAAGGGTTCGTGGTTGGACCTGTTGATGGGCTCTCGATTGGACTTTTTGAAGAGTTCTTGGTTGTTTTTGAAGGGCTCTTGGTTGGACCTTTTGAAGGGTTCATGGTTGGACCTGTTGATGGGCTCTCAATTGGACTTTTTGACAGGTTCTGGGCTGGAGTCTTCTCAGGAGTCTTGGCTGCAGGGTCTTCTGGAGTCTCGTATGCTTTCTTAACGAAAGTGTCCAAGGAAGTTTGGGCAGACATTCTCCAGGGAGATGGGCGCCGCCGGAAACACGTTCGCTGGCGTGGCATCAGATCAAGCGCCTTAAATTTGAAACTGACGTCCAAAAGTCCAAATAGGGTGTCAATTTATAAACATTGTAAGTGCCATTCGTTGTAACTCGAAACATCTTAAATCGAGGACTGCCTGTACGCAAACACATGGGCATGTTCACGTTGTGTGTCGCGGGCATGTTGGCGTTCTGGAAACCTCCCATTCAAACAGAGTTGGCAACCCTACTCACAGCTGGTGCTACACGAGCCTTTGGCGCCTTCTGGCAAGAGTCGAAATCCAGGAGGATGAGCTGCCAGCACCACCTTAGCCGTCAGCTAGAACTAGAGGCCGAGATGCCCAGCACTGTTTTGGCCCTAGGAAGAAGAGCCAGAAGCCCAGGAAGACGCAGCAGCTGCTCCACTGACTGGGCAGAAACACCCTGTTTGATTTTTCAATGCAAAAATAAAGCCAAACGTTTGCGATGGTTTAGTGAGGACGTGTGGGAGAACGTAATGCCGCTGCAACCATCCCTCTGTTTGCAAAGGGGGGTTGTAGTATTTTGTATAGAGATGTCGGCTGGAAGGGACCTCTAGAATCCAACTCCCTGCCTGAGGCAGGATCATCCCTCTCCAAACTATCCTGTACAATCCATCATCTAAGTTACTTGCCATGGGCTGATGGTTTCCCTGGCACTGTGCAGAAGAGCCTGCCTCCAGGTGCTGATTATGTTTAAGGCTTGAACTTCAAAAGCGGGTAACGATGAGAAACGGGGAACTAAATAAAAACGTCATCTTCTCCCCCCACATAGCTGCTCCCTGCCTATCTTCAGTCACAGCTTCTTGCCTTGCTGGCCAGCATCATTTTCTGCTACTGTTAATTCTGCAGATTCAACACCAGATTCATTTATAAGTTACCAGTGATAGACAGAATTGTTAAATTAAGTTTCAGTTACAGAATCGTTATTCGTTGAGGCTGATGCATTTTCCACAAAGACCCCTACCTACCTCGCGTCTCTGGGTGAGTATGCAATACAGGCTGTGTACCTGCGTTTGCTCTGGAATCATTAAGGCAAAATGAACACGCATCCCATCTTTACAGTCACTTTTGGCCTTAGGCCTTTTTTACACTCAAAGGGCTGCTGATAAGGCTATGCTGGCAAAGTCCCTTGGAGAAATGCAGCTTGCACTGAGCTGCTAAAAGAAGAGGAACTTCTGTGGGTGCAAAGTTATACCAGCCAAAGAAAGGTGTTAATGGGACAGGTCAGTGAAGGCCAACCTTTATGGCAGGTGTGCCACAAATTAGCCCCCCACCCACCCTGAGTACCACTCTTGATTCCCTTCCCCTCCCAGTCCTGCTGCTCTGTTATCTGCCACAGTCCTGCCTGTCCCCACCCTTATCTGCTGTGTGTCAGACTTAATCTGCCTGTGCCACTTGCGGCATCCATGCTGCAGGCTGGCCAGCCCTGGGATCGGTTACAGCAGTTCCTCAAACAGAATAAAATATACTGGCAACGGGTCTTTTTTTAAAAATTATTATTATTTTTGCCTGAATAATTATATTTACAAGAGGGCTTTGGGTGAAATAGCACTATTTTTGCTGCCAAAACTTTTTAGTGTAGACCAGATCGGATACCTGAAGGATGCAGGAGGATTATAGATTGGTTTGTCTTATCCTCACTTCTTGCAACCAAACTATGGACACTCAAAAAGGTGGGCTGAGAACACAGTATTTCGAGAGAGGTAATATCTCAGAGCTGGGAACTAGTTTTAAAGAAAGGTAAAGAAAGCCTCTACAGATCTATGTAGTAGCTGGACAATCTGATCTAACAAGCCGTAGAAAACACTGACACCCACTAGATTCAAGGAAGATGGTGTTTTCAGAAATGGTACGTGTCCTTCACACACATAAGAGCCTGATACCCTTCACTTATTCCAGAGACTAAAGGGCAATTTGAGTGGGAGTTGGTGGAGTTAAATTGATGTTAGGGAGAGAAGAGTCACTACGGACTATAGGAGTGACTTGCGCTGGTGCTGCAGAACAGTAAAATTGAGGGTCAGCTCAGTGCTGTAGGTACGGAGATAACTGAAGTCAGCTATCCTGAGAGACACTAGTTGCCTGGATACCTTAAATCCTTTGGAGAAGCTTGTTGCTGAGACTAGTGACTGCAGCTAAGAGTCAATGCAAACAGCCCTGTACACAACACACCAGCTCAGCAGACGTGAGCAATAACTCCAGGGACTAAACTAAACGGGCAAACGTATTTCATCAGGTTAGCTAATCGCCATCCCTGTAAACATGCTGTGGATTCCCTTCTGCAGGCAGAAGACAAAAATCATGCCGTCTGGAGAGCTAGTGCAACGTTACACATAACCTGATAGACAAGCTCTGTCTACATAGTGTATCCCTCGGGACAGGGGCAACATTTTAAATGGGTTCCTTGATGTCCGCGTGTTTAACAGTTCTCTCTTATTTTGTGTGGCTTTCCTTTTATTTCATCTTAATTGGTAGATTGGGAGAAGGGAGGGTTAGTTAATCATGAGGTGGAGTTGTCACATAATACTACATGATCCATTTTGCTCATCTATGTACTACAGATAATTGTATGCTCCATAAATGGTATGACTTTTCTATGTGGTCATAGAAATCTCATTTTTCCCCAGTTATTTTAATTATTTTAGAGACTTTTGCCCACATTTCTCTATGAAATGTTTTACCTACTCATTTTACAAGTGATATCTGAGGGTGCTACAAATACAGTGTAGGGAACAAATATTCATCTCCTTTATTTAGTTTATTCATCGCTTCCTTTGCTCATTAAGAGAACTGTGCACTTGAACCAGAGCAACAAACTAATTTAAGGCTGGATTTAAAAAAACAACCTGTGAAACCAATGGGAGTTTTTGCTTTGATTTCAGTGAGCTTTGGGTTATGCCTGTGCTGAATCGGAGCCCAATTCTGCAAACACTTAAAATAATTCCTAACTAACTTTGCACAGAAGATTGTGCAAATTTAAGCAGTATTTTAAGAAGCACTGCTCATGTAAGGAGGTTCACTGTTATTTTCTAGAAGTCTTCGTGTTGTGTCTTCCAATTATATTTGTTTTTCAAGAATTCATGGTAATAATTTATTTTCTAGCTTTGCAGATTCCAAAACCTATCTTCTTAGTTACAAGTAATAACTTCTCCTTCAGCCCAAATTACAGCACTGGCTGGTTCTAAAATAGCTGCGGTTCTGGCTGAAGTTTCTCTCAATAATTCAGTCCAAAAGGCAGCATAAAGAGCTGTCTACCCTGTTCACAATACTGATATAGCTAATT